CGTAACCATGTCTTCGGCAAATAAAAACTTGAACATTTTAAAATATTTTGAAGAGAACGATAACGACCACGTTAAATGCAAAACATGTTTACGGGTTTTGAAAAAGATCGTGTTTCAAACAGCAAGAAAATGATTCTGGTTGCATGCAGACCAAAAAAAGTGAAAAATCAACTAATTAAAGTTAAAATAAATAAAAAAAAATGTAATCCGGTCCTACATTGGTTAAGTCACTGAAAATAGCGTTCCTTTCAATGTGATTAACTCTGATGATATGCACAATATAATTGACAACATGTGTCAAGGTATTAAAGAGAAAAGTGGAAAAAACTTTATATTAAATGGAGCCAAGTGCAAATCTGTACTTAAACACGTGGCGGCAAATATCAGACTTGAAATACATAAAGAATGTAAAAATAGACTTAATAAATAATAATTGGCCATCACAACCCTTGACGGGTCACAGCCTGTTGCACGATTTGCCTCCACGCATCCCTGTCCTGGGCGCGCCTTCTCCAGTTGGCAGCACCGGATGTAGACAGGGCTTCCATCACCTGGTCTTGCCAACGCATCCGGGGTCGTCCTCTCCTCCGTTTCCCGACAATTACCGCATCAAACACCTTACGGGCCGGAGCGTCTTCTTCCATACGGGCGATGTGACCCAGCCAGCGGAGTCTGTGAATTTTAGCTCGACTGACTACATCAACATCCCCGTACAGCTCATACAGCTCGTGGTTCCATCTAATGCGATAGGCATCGCCAACGCAAATCGGACCAAAGATCTTGCGGAGAATCTTTCTCTCGAACACTCCAAGAGCGGCTGCATCGGATTGCACCACTGTCCAGCACTCCGCACCATATAAGAGTACTGGAAGAATGAGCGTCTTGTAGAGTGTTATTTTTGCCTGTCGAGAGAGATAGACTTATCTCTTTAAAAATAGATATTGTAACGCGGCTTCAACGAAATATATTCGGCATCAGTACTCAATTCATCAGCTCAGATGACATAAAATCGCGAATTCTTGGAATGGTGGAGCTCAGAGGAGCTGGCTCAAGTACTGCTAAAAATTTTAATAGGGAAATTATTTCTGTTTTAGACAAATACAAAATAGCACTGAGCCAAATTGTATCGATTACACCGAATAACGGGGCAAATATGATATGATAAAAACTTCAAAAATTTTATCACAAATGCATATGAGCGATGAATGATATGGACGAAGCCAGCACTGAACTATTTTGTATATAAAGAAAATTGACTATTTTGAAAAAGTAGAAAATATTCATGTGGTAGTGAATTGTTCATTCATTTTGTAGTGAATAAAGTGCTATAGGACTTTATGGACTCGAATATTACTATTATGGCTCCACTACAAAAAACTATAGTACAGTTTCAACAAGAGCAATTGCACTACGGAAATTTGTATGCTCTGTGGCTGGTTTGTAAACTGACTACTAACCAGATTTTAGCATTTTAGCGCTTCAAAAAAAGATTCAATTATGTATATGTCGGAAACAGGGTTCTTTCTTCCATTATTCACACAACTTTTATTACTGATGCGCCAGCACAGCGAGTTCCGCTCACTCATCGATCCTCGTCTTATATATTGTCAGCCTACATACATATATTGTCATCTTTTTCAATCTCAGGACTATTGGTAACCCGTCAACTGACCTCACTCATCAGCAGAGAACGCCAGCGTCTTTGCTGCTATGCTTTACGCATAAATTCTTGTACTTCCCCGAATACCATCTCGACAACTCTCCAGTGTAAACAAGATAAAAGCTAGCATCGGCAAGCCGAACCTTATATACCCTTGAAGTCATTAAATATGTCTATCCAAATACAGTCGACTCTCGTTAATTCGAAACTCGAGGGACTCTTGAAATATTTCGAATTATCGAGTGTTTGAAATATCAAATGGTTCGAAATTTCGAAATTTTCGAAAGAACTTTGTTATACTGGCTTGCTTTAAAGCACAATTCTGCTGCTCACACTGCTCAATAACTTTTTTTAAGAGAAAAAGTGCCTGAAATACTTTTTCATCACTTTCGTTTTGTAGACATAAGCTTTGTAAGGTATCAAATGAGGATCTTGCTTCCTTAACTGACACCTCTGCCAAAGGTTCTTTATACTTTCTAGGGCTCATAGCTAACATTAACTTTTAATATGCATACCAACGAAAGAGTAACAGCAACTGAATAAGTACACAAACCAATTCGTAAGAAGTGTGTGCGTCAAAAGCTACATAATCAAAACAAAAACAAAGGCAAGTTTGAACTTGTCGCAAAATTTTTTCTCTGCAACTTTGAATTGTCGAGTGTAAGACGCTGATGAGTTCGAATTAACGCGTGGTTTTGTTAAATATCAATGATTTTTTCGTTCGAATTACCAAGTGTATGAAAATGTATTGATTTAGTTCGAAATATAAAGAGATTTCGTAGGGACCTCGTGATAACTTTGATTTATAGAGAGGTTCGAATTATCGCAGGTTTGAATTAACGAGAGTCGACTGTACATACATTTTCGACGATGCACAGTGGGCTAGGATTGGAAAAAAGTGGCAAAAATTAATAACTCCCAAATTATCAATAGATTTAAAACTTTTAGTATGTTTTCTTATGTTCTTGGGGTCGCTGATTCCGAATCTGAAATTGGATTTTCAAAATTCAAAATGGCGGACTCAAAATGGCGGACTGAATATGAAGACTTTTCTAAAAACTGATTAATTCTCATTGAAACTTGCTATTAAATTACTTCTAATCATTATTTTTAATTTTTTTTATATCAATTTATATATTTTTAAAAAGGATTTGTGATAATTTTGTTTTATAATTATATATTACGCTTAGGATTAGCTGCTTTTGCTAAAGCACTCAGGATATGCCACGAGAAGGCTCCTAAACCGATTTAACATCCCGTTTTTTTTTGTTTTGGTTTTTTAATTTTTTTAATTTTTTATTTTATTTGTTTTTTTTTTTTTAATTTTTAAAATTTTTTTTTAAATTTTCTTATATGTTTTCATTTTTTTTATTTTCTGAGAGCTCAATTTCAACCAGTTCATTGAGTATATTTGACATATTATGTTTATCCTCATCATAGAAATCTTCTTCTTCTTTTTCAACTGAAGATTTACTTTCAGTTGCAGCCTCTAATAATAAGTCCATAGCTTGATTAAAAACATCTTCTAAAGTTGTTATGCGGCTATGTTTTCTACTCAAAAATGGTCTATAATTTTTATAATCTTTATTTCGAGACTCTGATGCTTCCTCCCCAAGCATACCTATAGGAAGCAAAATATTGCTGACATAGGGTACCAATCATAATATTTAATATAAATTTTTGCAGTAGCAGTAGCAAATTGATCAAATTTATCGGAGTCAAGAGGACTTTTTGTTGACAGTGCTATTAGAATAGGTTGTAAGTTACAAACTAGTTGTGAATCTAGCCCTAAGATTTCAGCAAACAATTTTGGATTGCAAAAGCTCTGCGGGCTGTATTGCCATCGTTTATAGTTCCAGAGCCACCAAATTTCGGTTTATCTACTCTTAGTCCCAATTTTTTCCAAAGTCTAGCTTGAATAAGTTTTTTTCGTTCTCGAAAGGAATCTCTCTGCAATTCACTTCTCATTTGCCAAACTTTCACGTCAAGTCTATAGGAAATATGCAAACATAATTCAAATGTTTCAAATGACAGCTATATGATGTAGTCGTCTGTTTTTTATGAAATTTAACTCAAAACTGAAGAGTCATTAGAAATTTTTTTTGGTTTTTTTTGAGTCAAGGGTATTTGAAAACTCGTTGTTTTAAAAATCATGGTCGAGGAATAAAAAATAACGACGTTATAATTTTTTTTACATTATTTTTATATATGTACATGTCGGATCATAAATTATGGTAGTCAGTGTATGGGGGAAACAAATCAAGTGTAACGATTCTTCTCGTTGAACTCTAACGATTGTTTGTTAGTGCGCGTAATTCTACCTATTCGCCAGGTGTTCAGAATAGTTCGATGCGAACATCTTGCGTGAGGTTAGAGGTTTGAAAAAGGGTTACGCACTAGGCGATTGTCGTGCGTGTATGCTTGAGCCACTGCGAGAGACAGAGATGCCAATATGTGCACTAGAACATGGGTGATGGTGCAGTTTTTGGAGATTCTGGAACAGTCTAAAACAGGCAGTCGTGCGCTCAAGTTTATTCGCCATCTACAACCGCTTATTGATTATAATAAAAAATGAACAAGGAGAATCTTAACCCGACATACATATATACTTTGATCTTTCATATGGCAGCTATAAGATACGGTTCAATGTTCTAAAAATCATGGTCATGGGATAAAAAACAACGACGTTATAATTTTTTTTATATATTATATCGATTTATATTTTTCGATTTTTCCTATGTCAGCTATAAGATAGAGTTATCCGATTTTGATAAAACTTAATTCGAAATTCGTTAGAAGTTAAAAAACACCATCTGGAAGAAATCAAATCGATATGTTCAAAAACAACGAGTTAATAATTTTTTTTTTAATCTCTTGTATTGGAACTATCCGATATAGTCGCCCGATCCGATGCGTGCAATAACTACACAACTTTTTGGGAAAGTTTCAACAAGTTAGCTTTAAAACTGAGACACTAGTTTACATAGAAACGGACAGACGTATTTCGATTTAGATCGTGATATGATTCAGATTGCTCTGCTTCTTTGTATACGAGCAATTCAATCGGTTGCTCTCAGACTTTTTGCTCAAAGTCTGAGTGCGGAAAACCGCACGAATCGGTCAGCAGTTATTTGGAAGCTTTGATATATATAACATAAAGATAAGAATAATATGATAATACACCTCGACTACACTTGGAACTGGATGTTAACTTTTACCCGCATAGATTGTTTCAGATAGCGATTCTGATATAGAAAATATATAATTAACGGAGTATAAGAAAACATTCAATACTAAAACATTGGCTTTAAATAAATAAATTTTGACATTTTTTTTATAGGAGAAACAATAAAACGTGCTGAAGATGAGCATGTTCGGATAGTGCAATCTATAATGGAAAAATGTATGAAAAAGGAGTCTTTATTAAATGAACTTTACCTTCAACTGATTAAACAGACTACTGATCATCCAGATGCTAACTCAAGAGTTAATTTAAAAAATTGGGCACTATTGTCAGTATTATGCAGTGTAATATTGCCATCAATTAAAGCTGTTCGGAAGTACCTTATTGCTCATCTAAAAAGATGCTCGAGTGATGTTTTGTCTGAGGAGGGTAAATACGCAAGGTTTGCAGAAAATGTAAGTATGACGTAATCAAAAAGTTATTACAATATATAAATAAGTATAGTATATTGAAGATTAAAATGTCATTAAAATATACTTAGATTTTAAAATCTATAATATAAAAATAAATCGCAAAATGTGTTGGTAAGCGCATAACTCAACAACGCCTGGACCAAATTGGCCAAATCTTTTTTTAAATGTTCGTTGAAGTTCAAGGATGGTTTTTACGGCGAGAAAAATTCGATTTATTGCTGGAAAAACCCTAAAAATAACCTTTTTCTTTTTCCCATACAAATGATTTGTAACTAAAACGTAGTCAATTTGAGCTTTATTGCTATGGTATAAAGTTCATATTAAATTACAAGCACTCACTGTTGTCTAAGCAATGTAGGTGTGTTCCTATATTATATACTAGAGGTCCTGTGTCCGCTTCGCTGGTCAACACAATTTAGCAACATAATAGTCAATGTTGCAACATTTTTCAAATATATGGAAGTATAGAAAGATGGTGAATTAACACTTTTCCAGTTGACTTTTCCACTTGTGCAGCACAAACCAGCCGTTTCTCTTTTAAACTTTAACGCACTGCAATATCGGTATATTGTCGCCATTGGTCCAATATCTAAATTGTCATTATCACTGTAGTTCGCAGTGGGGTCATATTGGAATGCCAAGCGATTGAATCATGCCAATGATCTCCATGAGCTCATTTGTCTTTCTTCGCTTAAGTTTTGTGAATATACTTGTTGCTGGCTTGGATGTCTGCGACCAATGTTTGCACGTCGTCCTCTAAGCATTTTGGACTATGGACAGAGTGGTGAATTTATCCTCAAATGCACGATCCACATCATTTTCACAGTTCAACTTAAATTGAATAAAAATTATTTTTTTTCACAATTTCACAGTGAACACAATACCCGTTTGTCCATGAAATTAACTGAGCAGAGAACACTAAGTTTGCATAATATGTGAAAAAACTTAATTCACTTGGAAATGATAAATGAAAACTAAAAAAATTGAGTTAAAATGCTATGGTAGCGTGTTTGTCAGTGTGATGAGGTAGCAACTCACTTTATATGCGACAATATTGCAATTTTCTTACGGATCCCTAATTTTTTCAAAATAAATTATAGCCTACTTTACTCCACGATAATGTAGCTTTCTATCGGTGAAAGAATTTTTTAAATCGGACCAGTAGTTCCGGAGTCTATTCGCTGCAAACAAACAAACAAACAAACAAATTTTACCTCTTTATAATATTAGTATAGACATATATATACGTATATATATATTATATTTAATATATGAAGATCTTTAAGATCAAAAGAGTATACATAAGTCGAGCGCCCCTCAGTCGTATTTTCCATCGAAACCCAAATTTTTGTTTCTAACGGAGAATGACAACAGTGCAATAAGAAAAACGAAGACAAATTTGGAGTCGGGCCGCCGTCGTTTGCAAGCAACGATTCGTGTTATAAGAGTGAGAAAGAGAGGGAAACTTCTACTGAGTTTGCTTTTGTCAACTGATACTCGAAACAAATTCGTATATCGTGTTTTGTGCAGAGTGTTTAGTTAGTTAGTGTTTGTTTAGTTCGTGATTAGTGAAAAAATAATTTATGTTTGATATGCTTCCTATAAGACGAAGCAATAGAAGAACCAGAAATGCTACAATTACATCGCTCTTATTACATGCAGGAGTAATGAGTACTATGTCAGAAAGTTTGAGTCATTCCCGGCATCAGGATTTTATATATCATGAGCTTACTTCGAAACATCATCGAAGCTTTTATTCTTATATAGAGATACATATATAAAATTTTCGAGTCACAGTTTTTGTTACCATACTCCTCCGAAACGGCTATACCGATTCTCATGAAATTTTGTGAGCGTATTGAGTAGGTCTGAGAATCGGCCAACATCTATTTTTCATCCTCTTAAATCCTCTTCGACATACCAAAAATCGCATATAAAGTGAGTTACTACCTCATCACATTGACAAACAGACGCTACCATAGAATTTTAACTCAATTTTTGTGATTTTGGTGTATTGAAGTGAAGTCAAGTTTTTTCTGGGTTTTGGTAATGGCTTTGTTTTATGTAACATTTCGACAGCGTTTCCGTGTGACGGGAAATCATCTGTACTTGTGTTAGTTATTGAACTCCTCCTAAACTGGATCGATATTGATTTTAATGTTTTAATAATTTTATTTTTTCGCTTATACATTGCAAACTCAGTAGGTAATTATACAAACATAAGTCTAGAACTGAGTAAATTTTGTACAGAAATTATAAAGTCATGTTTGGAAGACGACGTTGTTGGAACATAGGTCGCAGTACAATGAATGCTAGAAGGGTACGTTGCCGTCTGCCGGGGTTTGCTAGTACTACATAAAATTAAAATTTGAATATTCATTCATTCATTAGGTGGCACTACAACTCGATTCGGGTTTTGGCCGACCTCAGCGTGCTCCTCGCGCGCCTCGTCCAATCGGAAATACCTAGTGCAGCTAGGTTCTCCTCCACTTGGTCCTTCCGCCGGAGCTTTGGTCGTCCCCTTCGCCGTCGCCCGTAGTCGAACCTCGCTTCAAATACCTTCTGAGCTGGGGAAACTTCATCCATACGAACGACGTGGCCGAGCCAGCGCAGACGTTGTATCATGCGCCGGACCACGTCCACGTCGTCGTACAACTCGTACAGCTCGTGGTTCATCCGAATGCGAAGTCGTCCCCAATCCGAACGGGACCAAAGATCTTGCGAAGAATTTTTCTCTCGAACACTCCAAGCGCTGCTGCATCCGCCAGTTACATAACCCATGCTTCTGCGCCATATAAGAGCACGGGTGGGATGAGTGTCTTGTAGAGTGTTAGTTTTAATCGGCGAGAGAGGTCTCTACTGCACATTTGCTTACTCAGACCAAAGTAGCACCTATTGGCAAGTGTGATTCTTCGCTTGATCTCCAGGCTGACGTCACTTTCGGTGTTAATGGCAGTGCCACACCTCTACCCTAGGGATGAACTTGAATGTCCACCTGCCCCTAACGGAGCAGTGCCATCTTCGCTGCCACTCAGCAAGGGATCTCTTCCTGCTTTCCTCTTGGGAAACCTCGTGTGCGCATGCAAGCTCGCGTATGCCTACGTCGAATGGCATCATTCCGGCCAGAACTTCAGCTGCATCTCCTGAGGCCGTTCGAAACGCGCTGACGATTCTCAAGGCACAAGTTCTGTAGACCGATCTTACGTGTTTCGTATAGGTCTTGTTTGCTGTGGTGTCTGCCCAAATTGGTGCCGCATAGGTCGTTATTGACCTAACAACGCTGCTCAGTAGCCGTCTACGCAGCTCCTTGGGTCCCCCTCGTGTTTGGCATGATGCGGGCCAGTGCTGAACAGGCTGTCGAGGCCTTCTCGGCTGTATACTTCAAGTGCTCCTTGAAGGAGAGCCTGTGGTCCAGGATTATTCCTGGATAGCGGAGATGGGGTCGGGATCTTATGGCTGTGCCACCCACTGTGAGTGTCACGCTCTCCACGACCTTCCTGGAGCTTATAAGCACCGCCTCCGTCTTATGCTCTGTAAGGCTAAGTCCGGCATTTACTAGCCATTCCTTCGCCTGTCTGATCGCCGCATTGGTTATAGCCTCCAGCTCCTGTGTGTGTTTAGCAACTGCCACAATGGCAACGTCATCTGCGAAGCCGATCATCTTTACGCCAGTTGGGAGTGTCAGTCGGAGGATCCCGTCGTGCATAAGGTTCCATAGCGTCGGCCCGAGGACCGATCCCTGGGGAACTCCTCCCGTGACTCTGTATGTTTTTCTTCCTTCATTGGTCTCGTAGCGTAGCTCTCGTTGGCTTAGGTAGCTTTCTATAATTCGGGTTAGGGTTGGATCAATGCCCTTGCTAACCAGGCATTCTCGGATCCTTGCCCAGCTAGCCCAATTAAAAGCATTTTTGACGTCTAGCGTCACCACCAGGCAGTACTCCTTGCAGTGGCGTAGCGTGCCTTGTCGGGGCCCCGTATAAAAAATTTTTTGGAGGCCCTTATATGAAGGTAAAGATTTTTCACAAAAGAAAACAAGAAAGGAAGCTAGCTTCGACAAACCGGAGCTTTTATACCCTTGCAGTCATCAAATATGTCGAAAAAAAATACATAACGGCTAAACAACATCGAAGCTAAGACGATTTTTCTATTCATTTTCTATATTTTCGACTATTGTTCAAAAGACGGCTATACTCGGATCTGATCAAAAACAACGGCGTGAGAATTTTTAATTTCATTCTCTCGTATGGGAGCTATCCGATATAGTCGGCCGATCCGGCCCGTTCCGACTTATATACTGCGTGCAATAACTACACACCTTTTGGGAAAGTTTCAGCAAGATAGCTTTAAAACTGAGAGACTAGTTTGCGCGGAAACGGACAGACGTACAGACGGACAGACGTACAGACGTATTCTGATTCTACTCGTGATGCTGATCAAGAATATATATACTTTATGGGGTCTGAGGTGTCTCCTTCACTGCGTTGCAAACTTCTGACTGAAATTATAATACCCTTTTGCTCTGCAAGGGTATAAAAAATATTGTGAGAAGAAATATTTATTTATCAGATTATTTACCCATTTTACAAATAAAAATCAAATTTTAAATATTCACTCTTCCACACTTTGGGGGCCCCGTGACCCGGGGGCCCCGTATAATTGATACGGCGGTAGCTACGCCCCTGACTCCTTGGTGCCCCACCGCCACTGTTTACCTTCAATTGCTCTAGCAGCCAGATTTAGCGAGCTTTTCTGAAGCCGAACAGTCGGGAGTTGGACAGACCTCCTGAGCTGTTGATTGAGGCTTCTAGTCTGGAGCATATGACCCGTTCTAGGGCTTTGCCAGCGGTGTCTAGCAAGCAGATCGGTCGGTATCCTGAGGGGTCTTCAGGCGCTTTACCTCCCTTTTGGATCAAAACTAGGTTCTGTCTCTTCCAGCACTTTGGGAACACCCTTTCCGCAGCCTCTTCATCGCTATTTTGTAT